TACAAATGAAGTGAATAATACCTACCAACAATTAGTGGACTGGAGCTTTAAAAAAGGGAGCCATAATTGGTTATGCATCCTCATCTATAAGAAAATTGTCTTTATCTCTTCAATTACCTTTTAAAATAAACCAAACCAAAACAGCACATAATTGAAAGTGATCTACTTTTCACGACGTATCCTATGTACATGTGAGATTATTAATAATTTATTAAATTTAAACATTTTATCCTTATCCTAAAAAATATGAGCATTTTATAATGAAAATGTCATTTAAAAAAAGACATTGATTTTTTTCTTATATTGGCAAGCCTGGCGACTACAGGTTGCCAGATCAATGGGCGACTACTATTTCGAAAAAAATGGCATTCAAAATGGACTCCTATGTCGCGACCCCCTTAGATATACCAGCCCTGAATACTAGCCACATACAAATTATTTTATCTCTAGTCCGGAAGATGAGGCTATGTTTCGTAATATTTATATTTAAATAATTTTATTATTTATAGGTATTTGACACATTTAACACAAATTTAAAACTCAATTTTCTCAAAACTTAATGCGACATATAACCTTATTACGCCAAGGTCTTTAGTTATAGTTCAGCTTTGTTGTCTGTATTATAAATGGCCATTTTAGGCGATTTAGATAATGGTAATATTAGGAAACTTCGAACTAATACGAATGTTGGCGAGCGCACCCGAAAGCTATAAAGTCGCCAATATTTACTGCCGTTAAGCATCCACCATTAAGGACAAGAACTATCTTTAATAAAGTTGGTTCTAAAACTTAAACAATTTGCCCATGTTCAGATGTCATAATAAGAGCGGCGCTAATAGTGAGTGACTTTAAGTGAACTTGCAGTATCTCTTAATTAGGGTCAGTCAAAATGGGGCCGAAATACTATAATAAAATATCTAAAAGTATAAATAGTTGTATCAATTAATTTTATTAGCCTAAAACTATTTTTAGATTAAAAAAATAGCAATCAAATGTGAACGAGTGACTATTATTATGCATATTAAAGTATTATCGCTAACACATCAAATTAATTGAGCCATTTAAATAAAATGTAACGTTTTCCTGAATTATTTACCTATTGATGTAGGTAATTAAACGGTTTTAATGCTATTGTAATCATAACATAAAACAAACTCTCACTACACTGGACACTAGTGGGTATGTATGAGTTAAAATATTTTGTTAGGATACAAGTTAATGATAAATCTTTCATCGTTAAAAATGTGGTATCCAAGATAAAAATTGTGGTGTCAGACTTTTTGTGTAAATAATTTTGGTTTTAGATGGAAAATATTAATTTATTTATACTTTATAAACATTACATTTCATAATGATATATAATGGCAAATTTCAAAGTTATATTTTCAAAAACTAATGATGATAATATGGTTTACAGATAATTGTCTATCTAAAATTTAAATGAGGTAAAAGTAATATTTAATTACATTGGTTATTGATGATTGATAACAGTATATGACTTATTAACTAAGTACTTACTTTAAATTAAAAAATGTCTAACTAATTAAGGATTTAGTTAATTTGACAAAAACACTTAAACGACGCTGATTAGATTGCATATTAAACACATATTTTTTCGTAAAAATATGTTCACTATCAAGACAATTGTCAATTAAAATTTTAGTAATTATTAAAACCATTTTTTTTAAGAATAATTATTTAAAATACATTTCTTGTGTTCAATGTCTTTAATTAATCGACGTTTCAATTTACACACAAATAAGTTTAAAATTAAAGTTATATTGATTTAAAAAAGGCAAACTTTAATTTTTGGATATACAGGGTGTTATGCTTTTGCTGGCAAGTAATATATATATGTATATATATTTATATATATATATTTTTTTTTTAAATAGTATATCCTGCAATTTATTTCAGTTTTAGGATGGTTTGGTAATACTGCATTTAACCATGGTATATTTTTCAACAATATTACTGGTTTGCCAAGAAATCAATTTTTTTGTGAAAAAAAAAAATTGTAACATATGCCTATCCTGGCATGGTAACATTCGAAACTCATTTATAACCACTTTTGAACGAATACATAATATGAATAAAAAAATTACCATAGACATCTGAATGATAGCTTATAGATACCGGAAATATTTTTTAAAACAGTTAACAATTAATCAATATACATTTTAATTACCTACAATAATTATATCTTTCCTTTTAATTATTAATGTTTCAGATTTCTTGAATTTAATTACATTGCGTGTCGGCCGGCAGTATTTTTCAAAAATTTAATAATTAAGTATATCCTTGGTTAATTTATTAAAAAAACTTGAATTCGTATTATTAAAATGAAACATATTTATCACACAAATGAATATTTCAGTTATCATTTTTTGCAGCAAAAGTTTTTAATGGAATCTAAAAAGGTAAGCAAATGAAATTTAATCTTCAGAAACAGAAAAAATAAATACTTATTTATGAAAAATTAGTAGACAAATAAAAATATTAGGTTAATTTAATGCTTTGATCTTCTTATAAGTGTTATTTTTTGTTGAATATTAGTACTTTTTTATATGTATTTAATATAATATATTGGAACACGCTGTACATAATTTGTGGGAGGTTTTCTCAACTGGTTAGAAATACCCTCACTTGTGACGTTCGAACTGGGTGTACTTGGGCGCCAGTTTGTTTTAGAGTGGTTTACTCCTCTTTACCTGTTAGAACAAGTTCCAAGAAGGGCTGCAGGTAGCTGCAGTGAAGAAAGAAAATTCCAGAGGGTCAGCGATATTACAGTAGCTGAAAAGAGAGATTTACGACAAGCGAATGAAATGCCAAGTTACAATTTGACACATATACTGTTCAGTATTTACAGACGTTTCGGTTGATATTCGGTGAAGCTATATAATTATATTTACAAACCCTCTCCAAGTTATTGGATCTAACCCTAAACAAAATAAAAAAAAATTCGTATCGGAAATTAATGGGCAAAATAAAATAAAAACTCAATCGGACAAATGAAGGCGTTTATGAATAAAACGGTGTCGGGAAAACATCGGTGAAACCAGAAATACTACGCGGCGTTGTAAGTATAGGGTCTTCGACAAAGCCAACTTTCGGAATCTCATGAATTTCTCTTCTAAGCGTCTTGAAGCTTTTGACTATTCGGTTATCCCTAAAGCGGAAAATATAGAAACACGGCGGGGAGTGGGCAATAGCGGATGTAATGTGTAACAGAGAAATTGCAAATCTAGCTACAGCCTAATGGACCACAAGAATAATATCCTGGCTACACAACCCCTGATGATGGCGCTCCAGGCTATGTAACCTCGTATAAACCAGACTCTGGGAGCAAAGCCGAATCAGCCCATTCCACCAATCGGGATAGTCACTATACATCGACTTACAATTCAGAGTCCAGTCAACTAGTCGGGAATTCACTAAAAGTCTAACTAACGGTGGGGACAGGAATCAGAATTAAATAAACCAAAAGAACGTTAATCGCGGAGCAAAAGAAATTTACGAGAGAAATACAGGGATCTTAAACTCCAGGCCACCTACTCCGTTTTTCGAGAACCCTAACGATTGTCAAGTTCTTACTCCAGCACATTTCCTGATTGGGAATATTCTCACAAGCAGTCCAGAGCCCAATTACAAAGATGTCCCAATCAATTGTTTATATCGCTGGAACCACATCCAATATCTCTATCAATATCTGTGGAAAAGATGGTCTTCTGAATGCCTCACTCATCTTCAAAATCGATCTAACTGGAAATTCCAAACGCCAAATCTTCAACGAAATCAACTTGTTCTCTTAAAGGAAGATAATCTCCCTCCTCTTCATTGGAAAATGGGTAGAATTGTCGATTTGCATCCAGGCACTGACAAGATAATTTGAGTCGTTTCAGTTAAAACTGCAGATGAACTTTACAAACGTGCAGTTAATAAAGTGTGTCTATTGGCTATCGACATTTCTTGATAATTACGTCGTTAAAATATTTAATTATTTTATGTTTTCTTCTGTAATACTTATTTTGTGGTATTAAAAGTTAATTCTTTCAAGGCGAGCAGTATGTTGCAGATTTGTTGTTTTCCCTTTACCCCTATACTTTTTCCGCCACTGAATATAGAAATTGTCATTGATACACAATTTATTAATTTGTCAAATAAAACATCAAATACAAAAAAAATATATATTTTTCCCTTTTTCAATATACAGTCCATTCAAAACTAGAATTTAGGTTCAAACACATTCTACCAAAATCCTATATAAGTAATAGGTCCCAGGAAGTGGTCATAGGTAAATATTTATCACCTTTTAGTGACATTTCTTCAGAAGTACCTCAGGGATCCCACATGGGATTTATATCAATGACATATCTAAATGGTTCAAGTTCTGTAAATATAAAAAGTATGCAGATGATTTAAAAATATACTACACAATTAAAACTTTCAGATTTTAAACTGATACAAAGTGATCACTTATTGTAAACACAACTTTCTTTTCCTTAACTTAAATAAATGCTATTACTTTCTCTAGAAAACGATGCCAATATGACTTCCAATATTTTATCGGACTTAAATAGGCATTTATTTTGAGTCAAAATTTATTTTTGACCACATTCTTTGTGATTAGAATAATTGACATTTTACTTATAGCTTTTTTTCTCTGTACACAGTAAATACTGTACTTGGGTGCGTCACGTTTGTATCCTTTAAATAAATAATAACAAAAATTGCTATTATTCTCAAAAATAGGTAATTTTGGTTTTCAATATTTTTATTGTTTTGTAAAATTTAAATATTTTTTATGATAATTAATATTTATCGGCGATATTCCTGTATATATTTTTTTAAAATTAAGTATATACATTAATTTCTTAATTTGTGTTTGTCAAAATTAATAGCTTTTAACAGGTACTTTCAAGTAAAAATACAATATTTTCCCATTTATGTGTAAACCGATTTTCAGCTGTTAAGTGTATTTAAAAATAAAATTAAGTAACCACAAATACAATAATTTTACCATAATTAACAAACGATTTTCAGTTGTTAAAAGCCAATTATGGTCCCATCTATCGTTTTGTCCAACGCTTGTAATGATAAAACGATAATAATTATTTTTTGTAACGCCAACGATTAACATAACCCTTAAATAGGTTATTCCTCTATTCGCCGAGCAGTAAAAAACTTACAACTTTCTATTTGTTGCTATCATCATGAAGGTATGTGCTTTTAAGAAATTTATGGGCTAGAGATATCTTATCTGAAATTAAATATATTCCACACAATTTATGTTTTCAGCTTGTTTCAGTTAAAAATATAAAAGCCAAGCATAATAATTTAAAAAATAAAGTGTTAGTTTTGCTGCTGTAGGAGCTTTATTATCATATTTTATTGAAAATATTAGGCCATAAAATAAAGAATCAATTTGTTAAATAGATAATATAATTTATTGTTAATATAAGTTTAAAATAGTAGTAATTTTTAATAAAAACAATTACCTACATTTAAATTGATTCTATTTTCTAGATTCTTTTGTTCATTTAAGTAATTTTACTGAATTGTTTTATCAAGTTTAAAATATTTATAATATTTTACTCAGGGAACCTAAATATAAAAAAACAAGGTTTTGAACTCTAATTGCAAAATATATTGATTTTAAATTTTAAAATTATATAAAAAAAATTAAAACATACATTAGGACGCTTTAATATGCTGTACCGAGCTTTATTTTAAGTTATTACTGCTTCTTTTGTTAATTTAAGTAATTATACTGAATTGTTTTATCAAGTTTAAAATATTTATAATATTTTACTCAGGGAACATAAATAAAAAAAAAACAAAGTTTTGAACCCTAATTGCAAAATATATTGATTTTATATTTTAAAATTATATAAAAAAAATTGAAACATACATTTAGGCGCTTTAATATGCTGTACCGAGCTTTATTTTAAGTTATTACTGCTTCAGTTTCTTAATTTTACAATAATTTATTTTAAAACTTTGTTAAGTTATTATTTAAAAAGTATCAGGAAAACAAATATGCTGTTTTCATTCCCTTGATCTGTATTTAGAAAAAAAGCTTTATTTTCACTCAAGTTGCAATATCAAACTCTAAACCACTAGCTACCTTACTTATCCCCATATACTATTGTATTGGGCAAGCAATAGAATGCACTGCAAATCTCAAAATTGCAAAATTGTAATGACTGCTAGAGCTCATAAAATTAGGGTTAAATTAAGATTTTTAAAAACAATATTATGGTGTTAACAAATTATTCGATCACAATTTTGCAGATCTAACAAGAATATACGCAGATTTCCTGATTACTCACAGATTGCAACACCCTGGGTTACTCCTAACATTGTGTTCGGCGAGGATTGGCTAACACCGCCCGATATAAGAGGAGCACTTCTTAGCGACGTTGTCAACTACATTAAATCTGTATGCTGGCTCACGAGCTAACGTTACATATACAAAAGCCAGAATAGAAAAATTACTGAAGTACTAGTAGGCCTATTAACAGGGCATTGTAGGCTTAACGAATATATGTATAACATCAGCCTGGTAGAAGATAGCTTATCCCGATTTTGTGAGGATGAGAAAGGCATTGCAGTACATTTATTTTGAGGCTGCGAAGATCTATCAAGACCTTATACTTGTAGAAGAAAAAACAAGAAAAGAAAACTTGCTATGCCAAAAATCTACTTCATAATCTATGAAGTCTACTACAAAAGACCTAACTAGACAAGATAATAAGGGATAACCACAATAGATCTAAAAAGATAGAGGTAGATAGAGGCTACACAGTTCACGGTCCTAACCAAATCTGATCTAATCTATTGATGGTAGAAGCAACGTTGTCATATTCATAAAAGTCGTTTAATTTTTCTTATAAAATATTATAATTTTCCTTGCAACTATACATAGAGGAAAAGGTGCAAATATGGAATACCGTTTTGTTTGGTATATAAAAAAAATTTTGTTAGTGAATAGATTTAAGCCAAATTTAGGGAAAAGGTACTTTAGACAATTAGACACCAAAATGTAAAAGCAAATGTGTAATTATCTTAAACACTTTTTCAAAAAACAAGTTACAAAAAAAACTACAAAATTCCCACCTTAGAAAAGGTGGGGGAAATATGGAATACTTTATATATCTACATATTATTTGCACCAGTCACAAATATATTCGTCTTTTTCGGCGCCTCCACACTCATTATGAGCCCATTTTAAGCACATTAAATATTGGACCCATAGTTCTCCTTTCTTATCAGCAGAAAACGAACTATCGCAAAACATGCAATGAGCATCGTCCTCATTCGGTTTCAGTTGTCCCGGCATATCTTCCAAATCGTGGTCAGAATCGTCAATTTTTACATCTTCGCTTGAATCCTTAGATTCATCAGCAGAAACTGCATTCTTTTGACGTTTCATTTTGTACTTTAACTTCTCCTGTTTTTGAGAATCTTTTTTTTCAAGGATTTTCCTGAAGACAAGTTTTTTTAACGCCACGCGATTTTGCCTCCTTTTCAGTTTTTTTTTATTTATTGACTCATTTAGTTCGTCTTTGTAAGGTGACGAGGTAATCACATAGATCCAATTGTCTTGCGTCTTCTGTTGGTTTTTTGCGGATTGTGTTTGGGATTGGAGATATTTCGAACGGTGAAACAAACTTCTGGGTTGAATCTACGTCTTCATCTTGGCCTTGGTCATCTTCATCTTGGTCTTGGTCATCTTCATCTTGATCTTGGTCAACAGCTTGAATTCGGCCAGGTGCATTGTCTTCGCATGACGTTTTGGAGCATGAAGGTTTTTCTATAGGGGTAGTAGAAGCTTTTGTTGTTTTGACTTCTTGAATGGTAATGGTAATTCCTCTTTTCGCTGCTTCTTGTTCCGCAGCAATGAAGTCAGCTTCAGAAAAAACATTCCTGTTAAAAGGTTAAATACCAGTGGTGCGAAAACCATTAGCCGCTATTGTGTATGTCTGAACTTTTTCGTAAGCTCTACCAAATAACTCCATTATATCAAAAGGACTAAGAGCCCGTTGGTTTTGACGGATCCAAATACGAATTTCTTCACTATAATAGACTTTTAATGGTCCCATAAATGACTTATGTAAAGGCTGAAGCTTGTGCGTCGAGTGAGGAGGCAGACATAAAATGTTAACATGGTTTTCCCTTGCAAGGTCGATAACGTCGATATTGCGAGTGTGGCTGTAATGGCCGTCAAGAATTAACATGAGGGGGGGTTTAGTGTACTGGATTAAGTAACGGAACCACTGGGGGAGGAAAATATGGAGCTGTACCCAACCGGATGGATGTGCAATTCCTACGAACCAAGGAGGAGCTCCCTTCATGAGCTGAATGTTCATATTTTTCCTAGGAAAAATAACCAAGGGAGGGACAAAGTTTCCAGTTGCATTCATACAAAAAATAACTGTAATCGGAGCCCCTTTCTCTGCTGATATTAATGAAGCAACTTGACGTTTGCCTTTCAGCCCTATTACTGACGATACTTTACTTTGGACAATTGTTAACCCTGATTCGTCTACATTATAAACGTTGTTCGGGGAATAGGGCATTTGCTTTTCAAGGAGGTCAAAAAAGCCGCAACTCTTTCTTTACAAAAACCTGCAGCTCTGCCAAATGATATCCCCGTTGGCTTCCTTATTGACAATTTTGGATGTCGCTTTAAAAACAAATCAATCCAGGCCTTGCCTGCTAATCCAGATATAGAAAATGGGTATTTGATTTTATTCCTTATGGCCAACTGATAAGCCATGCGCTTCAGATCTGTCATTGTGAGCCCGTAAAATTTGGACTCTAGCTTCTCTAGCTCTGGTCCCAAAACACATTTTTTCCAAGCTTGGTTGCTGCAGCCTTATCTGGTGGAACTGTGTTAATTTGACTCAGATGAGAACGTTGTACGAGGAACCCTATAGGTTTTGGATGCCTCGAGACATCCCATTGTTTTTTCTCTCACTGCTTCGATGGCCCTAGCCATGTCCTCTTCCTTGTATTGCTTTCTTTTATTATTGCAAGACAGACGTTCAGTTTTTCGTGGCATCCTAAAAAAAAATAAAAACGTGGTGTAAACATGAAATACTAGTTTTTCATATTACCAACCACCCATGTCACCAATATTTCAGGTTAGATCTAGGCTATCATAACAAAAAACTAAACAAATGCAACGTCATCTTAAACTTTAGTTTATATACAGTGGCATCGTAACAAATATTTAAATAAAAATATGCAAATAAAAAATATTAGGCTTGCATATTCACTTACGTGTTAAACTTTTCAGGACGCGAAATTCACATGTGCAAACCTCAAAAACCATACTAAAACGGCGCGGGGTAGATCGCCTTTTGATGGCAAACAAATATAAGTTTAGCCGGTTTTCGATAGGGGGCGGCATTTGGTTTAGTCAAAACCGAGGTACTCCATATTACATGCATATTCCATATGTACACCTTCTCCTCTATAGTTTTTCCCTCATGACCCTTATAATGGTAATATTGTGATTACATAAATTAAAAAGTTTCACCAGGAGGTGGTTTTTGAAAATGTTTTGTGCTATGTGTCTCGTACACATCCGAAGAACCTAATTTTTTCATATTGTCATGGTATTTATTTTTATCACACAATTAGACGAATGTCTAATACTCAATATTTGCTTGAGTACCACTACTGCTGCTACTACTACTACTACTACTACTACTACTACTACTACTACTACTACTACTACTACTACTACTACTACTACTACTACTACTACTACTACTACTACTACTACTACTACTACTACTACTACTACTATTCCTTCTACTGCTACTACTATTTGTTTATTGTTTTACTAAACATAAAACTATATTTTCATTATCAATTAATGTTATTTTTACATTTTTCAGAAAAATGAACTTTTACTGGTAATCTTCTTGTTCCTGTTCATTACACAAACCAATGGATTTTATGAATTCCTTGGAAGTGTTGTAAGTTTCGTTTTGGAACTGACAAGAATTCAGCAATTACTGATACCTTTATACCGACCAAAAAATAGAGCTCGTAAGTACATTATAAATATCATGAAATTACAGGAGGCGAATTTCTGTAGACAATTTTAATCAAACTGTCCATGATATAGTATCACGAAATCTATGAAAATTTTAAGAAATTTATGTAGTCAAAATAAACTGATCTTAGCCTGGGTATATTTGACTGGGGTTCGAGGCTATGCTATTGGAGATAAATTAGTAGTAGAATGGTAACTGGACATTAGCGAAATTAAACCATAATAATTATAAACAATATCCACTAAACAGATTCAGGAGATAGGCAATATAGTATACAAGATATGAAATTTTTATGATGATAATGATCAAATATATAATAAATTAATCTAACTAAATGACAAACATTCCTTGTCAAAATTAAAATAACGGTTTTAACTCTAGAACAAAATGCATTAATTATTTTCCGTTAATACATTATCTACTAAAACTTAAGTGTAATATGTCCAGTTTGTCAAAGATAACATGTAATTTGGGTAAAATTATCATCATTAAAAAAATTGTTCACTTAAATGTAAATAATAATTATTGTAGTTTTAAACAAATAGCTACAAATGGATTGAATACTTAATTAATATCCCATATTGTAGAAAATTATATATATGCAATTATAGCTTTTGTAAACTACCTGGGAAATATCTACTTATAGCACTGTGAAGTTTACATCTTCATTGTATTTTGAATTTGTGATGCCACTGCATGGGTAATATAATAATAATTGTTAGCGCCACGGCAAATAGTAATAATAATAGCCGTCCCTTTCCCAGCACAAGCTCAGCTTTTTGGGTTAAAATTCACTTGTAAGGGAGTGAATTAGGGAGAGTATTAATATTATTTGTGAGTGTGAAGTAAGTGGGAAGAGGACGTGCCAAAAGAAAACATTAACTTCTTAATTTGCCGACGTTTCGACGTTTATTTTTCGTCTTTTTCAAGGCTGAAAATACATAATAGGTTTTAATAAAAAATTGTAAAAACTATGAGATTTACATGGGTGTCAATATTATAAATGGTATATAGGTATACAGGGTGGGCCATTTAAAAGTTCCACCCCCACCCTTTATCTTCGTTATTTATTGAGATATCGAAATATTTTTTTTTGTGTTGGAAAGACTGGAACAAATACTTTCTTATAATTAATTCAATTATTCTGTGACGTCATGGCTTACTTTCGGTTTTTCCGGAAATAACAGAAAATCGCAATTTATTTTTATTTTTAAATTGAAACCCACTTTTTTTATTCTAAATTTGAATTTTTGGGATATTTTTGTATAATAATCGTGTATTAAAAATTTTCTGGCAGCTGTCAAAATGGCCGCCATATTGGATAATATTATTTCTAAGCATGTAACTATTAATTCGTTTATGGAAAAATATATAAATGTATGATCTTTATAAAATCTTTGTAGCTTCAAAATTATCATTGAGACCCATTTACCGTATACCAGTGGCGTATCTAAGCATTTTTATTATTAGCAAACCGTTTAATAATTCCATCCGCTTCTATCTTCGTTCTAAATTGAAATATTGGAACGAAAACTTTTTTTACTGGATCCAATTGGCCTATGACGTCATGGCTTACTTCCAATTTTTCCGGATATAACTGAAAATCGCAATTTATTTTTTATTTTAAAATGCAAACCCCTTTTTTATTGAAAATTTGAATTTCTGGGACGTTTTCCGACAAAAAGTGTGTATTGAATTTTTTCTGTCATCTGTCAAAATGATCGTCATATTGGTTAATATTTTTTTTAATATATTATTGTAAATTCGTTTATGGAAAAAATATGGGAATGAATAAAATCTTTGTGAGCTACACAGTTCTTAATAAGGCCCATTCACAGTATACCAGTGGCGTATCTAAGATTTTTGTTCCACCCGCTCTAATCTTCCTTATTAATTGAGATATCGGAATGAAAATTTTTTGTTTGAAAGCTTGGAATAAATATTGTCAAATAATTGATTTGACTGGTCTGTGATATAATGTATTATTTCCGGTTTTTCGAAAATAACAGTAAACCGCAATTAATTTTTTATTTTTAAATGGAAACCCACTTTTTTATTGAAAATTTATATTTCTTGAGGATATCTGTCATCGAACTGAATTCATACGATTTCAGCGCTTGTAACCACTACATCAGTCAACTACCTACTGTTAAATAAAATATTAAAAAATAGTTATTTATGCTTGTAATAAGTGTATAAAGTGGCCTTCAAAAAGGCCTTTAATACGAATTAATAATAATAATAATAATAATAATAATAATAATAATAATGTTTATTCATAATAAAAAAAATATATACAATAATTAAAAATACATACAATCAATCCAATTGGATGAATAAACCTAAAAATATCCACTGAAGTATTATAAATACTTGTTTGTGGTAAAAAAAATATGATTATTAAAAGAACATATTTAAATACATATATTAGAAATGCATTAAATAAAAACTTGATAAAATATATAATAATTTTAAGTTATACATTTTTTTTTTTAATTTTTTTTTATATATATTTTTTTTTTTTTTTATTTACTAGGCTACATAAAATATTAATTAAAATCATTGAAAGAATAGACTAAGAGAAAAATTTTTATTTTTTATTTTCTATTTTGTTCTTGTTCAACTCTCTATTATTTTATGAATATCTGTTCTTTCACTTTCTTTTATGAAGAGTGTAAGTTGCTTTTTAAAGCTCTCATAAGAAGTTTCCTCTGTTATTCTCTGTGGTAAGTAATTGAACAGTTTTGGACCTAAATATACATAGCTTCTTTGTCCTACAGATTTCGAAGTTATTGGTATACAGTGTAAGTGTTTTGTTCTTGTTTGATATTGATGGCTTAATCTGGTAAGTTCATTTTTGTTTTTGTACTGTTGACACCCTAGCTGGATACTATATAATTGCCTAATATCTAACATTTGTGATTCACTATAGAGAAGATTGCTTGAATGTCTTGCTGTTTTATTGAATATTATTCGAAGAAACCGTTTTTGAGAGACTTCAAGTGCACGAAGGTAAGTTCTTGATACCCCTCCCCAACCAATAATGCCATAATGAAGATGTGATTCAACCAAACTATGATATACGATATTTCTACTACCGTACATATTGCCCACTAAGATTAAAAATACAAAGGTTACTAACGCGTAAAGAAAGTTTGAAATAAAATGTCATTTGTCATGTCAAAATACTAAAAGTTGTGTCTTGTTGACGCACTAGTGCATAAAAAGTTTTACCATACGCACTAGTGAAAAAAGTAAAACTTTATGCACTCCGTAGTGCGCACAATGTACGTACTTTAACGCACAATAGCAGAAAAATAAATGAATGCGACACACAACAGATCTTTAAATTTAAAAATGTTTATTTTTGTTCTACATTTTAAAGTAACTTCATTTCATCAGAAAGATTTAAGGAATCAATATAATAAAACAATGCCCACCATACAATAATAAACATTGATAAGTTCAAGAAATTTAAATTTTCAATAAAAAAGTGGGTTTCCATTTAAAAATAAAAAATAAATTGCGATTTACTGTTATTTTCGAAAAACCGGAAGTAAGCCATGATGTCACAGATCAGTTTGAAGCTCACAAAAATGTTATACATGCCCATATTTTTTTCCATAAACAGTAACATATTAAAAAATATATTATCTAATATAACGGTCATTTTGACAGCTGAAAATTTTCAACACACGTCACAGACCAATTGAATCTAGTATATGTATGATAGTATTTGTTTCAAGCTTTTAAACAAAAATGTTTTCGTTCCAATATTTCAATTTAGAACGAAGATAGAAGCTGATGGAATTATTAAACGGTTTGCTAATAATAAAAATGCTTATATACGCCACTGGTGTACTATAAGTGGGTCTTAATAGGAAATTTCGAAGCTTACAATGATTTTATAAAGATCATACATTCCCATATTTTTTCCATAAACGAATTAATAGTAACATGTTTAGAAAAAGTATTATCCAATATGGCGGCCATTTTGACAGCTGACAGTAAAATTTTAATATACGCTTCTTGTACAATATTGTCCCAGTAATTCAACTTTTCAACAAAAAGCAGTTTCGATTTTAAATTAAAAAATAAATTGCGATTTTAATTTATATCCGGAAAAGTCCATAGTATGCCATGACGCCACATACCAATTGGATCCAGTATATGAAAGTATCTGTTATAAGTTTTTAAACAAAAAAGTGTTAATTCCGATATCTCAATTAACAACGAAGATATTAGCGGATGGAATTATTAAACGGTTTGCTAATATTAAAAATGCTTAGATACGCCACTGGTATACGGTAAATGGGTCTCAATGGGAATTTTGAAGATAACAAAGATTTTATAAAGATAATACATTCCTATATTTTTTTCATAAACGAATTAATAGTAACATGTTTAGAAAAAATATTATCCAATATGGCGACCATTTTGAAAGCTTTCAGAAAATTTTCAATACACGATTATTATACAAAAATGTTCCAGAAATACAAATTTACAATAAAAAAGTGGGTTTCAATTTAAAAATAAAAAATAAATTACGATTTTCTGATATTTCCGGAAAAACCGGAAGTAAGCCATGACGTCACAGAATAATTGAATCCATCGTAAGAAAGTTTTTGTTCTAGTCTTTCAAACAAAAAAAAAATATTTCGATATCTCAATGAAAAACGAAGATAAGGGGGGGTGGTGGAACTTTTAAGTGGCCCACCCTATATATACAACGTAAATGGTTATTGTTATTTCAATAAAACAATCATTGTTAGCATGAGAGAATTAACAAATCAATATAAATATTAAATTAATTAATGCAAGGCACATGGTATATATTATGTGGAATTTGCCGAAACAGTTAAAACAGAACAATATATAAATAAAATTTAATACTAAAAGTAACATTTACACACAGATATCTTAAAATAATGATAAAATTAATCAAAATATTGTGGCAGTTAAATTGTAGGTGGACGAAGAAATTCATTTGTATGTTACGGTAGGTATAGTTAGTATTTTAACGGCTTATTGTTTTAGTCCGGTTCAATTCTGGACTTGTATATATTGAGTAGGTTACGATAGCAAATACTTAAATTGGCAGTATCCGTTTTTAAATTTACTGTGTCGTTTAGAGATATGTGTATCATTTCACTAATTGTTCTTTTGTAATAGTTGGATTCTTTATCAACAATTTTAACGTTATCAAAGTCAAATTTGTGCGATTGATTAAAATGATGTAAAGCTAATGCGGCCTTTTCTACCTTATTTTTATTTTTTTTCCCGACAGTCAGATTTGTGTCGGTATATTCTGTTTTTAAGATATTGTTTTGTAATACCATAATAATAGTAGCATTTTTCACAGCCTTCAGAATTAATTTTGTACACTACATTAGATTTTAATTGATCGGGCGTTTCATCTTTTGAATTTGAAAATAAGGATCTACACTGGTAAAACGCTAACATTGTGTTTTCAGAACCCTTTGTAATTTCAAAACATCTTTTAATTTTCTGGAACAGTCACTGTATAAATGGAAATCGAAAATACACTTGAATGCCGAAGTATTTGGGAATTCGTTTCCTACTTTTTTGACAAAGTTACCTAATGATGCTATGATTAGGACAGATAATGCATCAATTCCTTCCTTGTCATCAAGGAAAGCTGAAATGCAGAAATGGTTACAAAGAAAAAAATTGAATTTAATATAAAAATGAAACAGTGTCAACTTTTATACCTAATTTGGCAACGGAAAGATGCAAATAATTTGTCGATAAAACGGCAAAAGAAACCAATCAAGTTATTTGCGGCTGCTCCCATACCACTGCGAGTTAAATCCCCTAGAATTGATGTGAGCATAAATAAAGAATGAGGTGGCAGCTAAAAACATAGCTTTAAAGTTAGTAGATGTAAAAGGATTTTTATTACAAGCTATTGAAAATGTAACGCCTACAAATTGCCATAAATGTGTAAAACATGTAATAAGGAAAAAAAAATTTTTAAAGGGGAAGGGGGGTCAAGTGATATCCCATTAAGAAATTCTTGTCATTCCCTATACAAGGCTGCTGAGTTTTTGAAAATCGAGCTACTCGTTTAAAAATTATGGAGCTTTGAAAATTAAACAATAATGTGTGACGGAAAATGCAAAAAGCGATTTAATTTAACTTGAATACTTGCCGTATTTTTGAAATTACATTAATTATTCCCAGATTTAAAGTAAAACACTTCATTGGAAACACTAAAACATTTGTGGCTATAATGGTATTTTTTCAAATAAATGTTCCGTTTTTGCCGTTTTGCAGATTCTTTATACTCTTTTTGGTGGTAAAAAATTATCCGGTTTCTTTCTTCACGTTTAAGTTAAAGTATTTGCTAGGTACATGTCTTATTGTGTTTCAGTGTCATTGTCATTGTAAACATTATAGTTATCAATTATGCTGTACTCAATTACAGAAATCGGGTAGCAGAGCTGTTTAACCAACGGCATCCTGATAAATATCTCTTTGGGGAAATTGTTCGCGAATTGGTGGCAAAATTTTGCGAAACAGGTTCGGTTCACAACAAAAAGAGGAACCTTAAAAATCCAGTGTTAAATAAACCTACGGAGATAGCAGTATTGGGAGAAGTTACAGTGGATAATCTGCTAAATAAAAGACAATTGGCCATTACGATGGGTGTGTCTAGTACAAGTGTCCAACGGGTATTAAAAATATACAAATTCCATCCTTAAAAAATTCGCTTAGTGCAAGAACTGAATGAAGACGACTTTGACCGTCGCTTGCAATTTTGCGAAATCATGAGTGAGCGAGCGTTATAATTTTCTATTTAATGTGTGTTCTTTCTTTCTACATAGTTTAGTGGATCGCTACAATTATCGTTACTGGACCCGACTTAGGTCCTTTAGAATTTTCTTTATGTCGCGAAGTGACACCGTTAATGCTCAACAATGTACGGCAACGGTTTAAAGATAACTTTTATCATTGTATGCAAGTTGGCAGGCAGAACTTCGAGCATTTACTTGACTAATACGGTAAGAATTGAATCACTTTTTGCATTTTCCGTCAAACATTATTGTTTAACTTTCAAGACTGAATAATTTTCTGAACGAATTTAGCAGCGTTGTATAGGAAATGACCAGACATAACACCCCTACTAATGGGGTTGAAAGTTTTACTATGCTTTTTGCGTCAAATGCTGTTATTTTCCACCCTGTAATGCCTTGCGGTACGTTTTCGATGGGCCACCCTGTATACCATATTTTTATATTTAATACTAACCTGCATCTGGATATTTTATTAATATTTTTCTTAAATATTCAATCTCTATTTTGAAAAGATCAAAATTATTCCCAAAAAGTCAGTTTCAGAAACAAGAAAAAATATTTCTTCGATTAAGATCACAGTAGATAGGCTTCTGGGCCACTACTTCCAAAGTCGCCGCTATATGACGCCATCTGTAGATGATCTACAGACAATCTGTAGATATCTGTAGATGATCTGTAGATATCAGTAGATACGTGTCGGTGATCTACAGACAATATGTAGATATCTACAGAAACATTATTCATGATGGATATTTATATGATAGCTTTAGTTTTTTCTGTTTGAATTGCACCAATAGCAGCTGAGATATAGACTTAGGTCCTTTTGACTTAGCCTTTTCCTTCATTGCGTCGTTTGTTCCATGTAAATTGGACTTAAAACAGCAGAGATACACTTAGGTCCTTCTTGCTTTATTCATGATTTTTCTCTTCAACGCATGTAATGTCCTTTCACTCCCCGTTTTTCCTGTTAAAATCTGACCAATAATTGCTGAGCTACAGAATTGGGTCCTTTTAACTTTGCTACTGCGCAGGGTTGTTCTATTTAACATTAATCTATACCATGTTTTCTACATAATACCAGCTGAGATAGAGACTGAGGCCTTATGACATTGCGAGGATTTTTCTCTTCAACGTTAATCTACATGTAATTTTCTCCCTGTTTTCCCGTTTAAATTTGACCAATAATAGCTGAGATACAGATTTAGACCCTTTTGGCATTGCTACTGCGCAGGATTTTCCTCTTACGTTTCTTCCACTTTCCCGTTCAGATCCGACCAATAATAGCCGGGATACATGCTTAGGTCCTTTTGGCATTGCCACTGCGCAGGATAATCTATATACTTTTATCTAAGATATACATTCACGTAAACGATGGCCGCCATCTTGGATCGCTTAGTTGAGTAGCAAAACCACTTAGTTAGGTTTCAATTGTCCACCAACACTGATAGATCAGTGTCCACCACTGAGAGGTGGCGCTATATAGCGGCGACTCTGGAAGTAGTGGTCCAGAAATCCCCTTGCCTATCTGCTAATTACAAAATGTGAAATTTACTACCAATAAAAAAATCGTCTTTTATGACATTTATTCGTGTCTTGACCATTGACATATTGGTCTTGACCCCTCATTAGCCGTTGGCCGACTAGAGCCGATAATGACAAATATTTCATAGATTTTGAACAATAATAAGAAACACGCTTTGTAACAAATCTACTTATTTTTAGTGGTGTAAGTAAAGATTTTCGAATTATTCCTCCTGATTTTTAAACAGAGTATAGTCATTTAAATTTGCTTAAAATTGTAATTTTTTCAGAGGAAGAGAAGTTCGATTTCGTAATAATTGGATCGGGACCATCGGGATCTGCTTTAGCAAACAGACTGACGGAAAATCCAAACATTAATGTTCTTTTGCTGGAAAGTGGCGAAGAAGCCAGTTTCATTGCCGATATTCCAGTTGCAGCTGGAGCCCTTGAGTTTATGTCATATAATTATGGCTACAAATCCCAACCGCAACCGGGATTCTGTAAAGGTACGGAAGCAAATATATATTAATATTTATATAGAAATTACTGACGTCATCAGAATTGTTGTCAAAACCTTAGGTCAAAACCAATATGTCATTGGTCAAAACAAAGGTCAAAACTGAATTATACTGGGGTAGTGAAGTTTCCAAAAATAGTTGTTGATTTTTAGAATATGTCAGAGAAAAATGAATTATCAGGGAAAGTAGAAACTTAAGTCAGATGGAAAAATAAAATGTTATGATTTAATATATTAGAACATATCTATTGAAATAAGATTAATGAGGAATTGTTAAGTTGGAGAAGTTAAATAACTAGATTAAAATGAGAGGTATGGAGAGTTTTAATAAAATGAAAGCTGAAGGTCGCAGAAAGGAGCAGGTAAAGCTGAGACAGGAACACAGGCACAGACGGTAGAGTAAGTGGAGACAAGAAATAACCGGGAAGTGAGAAGAGAAGAGTGAAGATTTTAAAAATTAATTTTTTTATAATTTGGTATAAAGTATTTGTAAATTTTTAAAGCCGAACCACCCCATTTGAGCGTCTTTGAAAAATTTGGAAAATCGATATAAAGAGGATTCTGAATCAAGTGGCGCCCAACAAATGATTATGAAAGGGATATAGAATTTTTTGGATTTTTTGAATTTTTAAATTTGGAAGGAAAACTGATAATATTGTTTATAGTTTCATTCATTTGAACTGTTGATTGATATTAGTATAAAAAGAATATAGTGCATGAGTTTGATGTTTGTAGAATTTAGGAGATAAAAGTATAGATTGTAGGTAGGATAGAAAGTTTACAAAATTTAAGTGAAATTTAAGTAGGGGGAACGTAACATTAAATAAGAAGAATAATATAGCCAAGTATGATGTAGAAATTTGTATAGGTGGAATATAAAGTGTTCAGTTAAAAGTTGTGAAAGTTTGAAAGAAATATATGTGATGGACTTGCGAGAGGGAAAGAAGGTTAGTTTGTTAGATGAAGAGAAGAGAGATGATCAGAGCGTAGAACAAGGAGATATGGAACAGCAAGATTAATGAGATACAATTATTAAAGACAAAGATGGAGAAGCAGAACAAAATCATGACAACACAGGAACAACGGCGTTAGAAAAGGAGTTTTTCAAGACTCAAGAGAAAAAAGAAGGGCTGAAATTAGAAAATCTAATGCAATTGCTCATTGGAATGAAAGGACAATAAAAATTGATAAAATGGAGAAAAATAGAAAACACGATAAAGAAAAAATAATTTTGAGGAAATGGATTAAAATAGAAAGAAAATGAATCAACACTGTAAAAGAAGAAGGAAAATGGTAAACAGCATAAAGAAAAATTAAATAAAATTGACGAAATATATTATAGAAACAATAAAAATAAAGATGAAAGGTGTAAACTAGAAGAAAGTATAAGACTAAATATAGAAGAAAGAAATGTAGAAGTAAAATAAGTTAAACCAAATATAGAAATTGAAGAAGTAAATGTAGAAATAAAAGTGGAAATAACAGAAATGGAAGAAAAATAAAGTAGTAAAAATAGACAGATTTAGATTGTAGGAAAATAAATAATTAAAATTGTAAATTCAGTATATCGTAGATCGCAAATCGAAATTCGAAAGGTTAGAATTATCTTAAATAGGTTTTTAAATAATTTGAAAATTTGGAATCAAATCTCAAAAATCCCTTTAGGAATTATTAAGGCCATCCTCGGACCCCAAATGTGAAAACAAATACTTGTAGATTTGAAAAAAACCTGCAATCGCCGGGAGTCGAACCCAGACTTCCACGTTTTCCGGACGTGTGCCCTTACCGTAAGGCTATTAATGACATTGACTGTCAAGTTTGCTAAATGGTAATTTGAAGTGCTAATTCTAGCCAGGCCACGTTCAGGTTTCTTCTCAAATCTACAAATACCTCCAATGCAGCATCGATGTAATGAGCACTTCAATTTCCGTTTAGGAATCTCGACAGTCAATGTTGTTGATAGCCTCTCGGTAAGGGCTCACGTGCAGCAAACGTGGAGGTCTGGGTTCGATTCCTCGCGGTGGCAGGTTCTTTCAAATCTACAAGTACTTATTTTCACATTTGGGATCCGGGATGGTCTTAATATTTCGTAAGAGGATTTTTGAGATTTGTTTCCGAATCATTTAAATAAAATTAGTGAAGACAAAAAAGAAAATGGAAAAAAATAGGAAATAAAATAGGAATATAAAAATATAAAAAATAAACTTAAAATTAGGGCTAAACAAAGTATTAAAAATAGAAGGTAAATGAATAAGAAAATAAAATGTAAGTTCAGGAAAAAGAAATTTAACTTTACCAAAAAAAAAAAACAGATGTAGAACTAGTTTCAGATTAAAACAGATACAGATAAAGTAATAGTATAATAAAGTTAAAACAGTAAAATTAGTGTAAAAGAAATATTAGGTTAGATAGGGAAGAATGGGAGAAAATAATTAAAAATGGGATGTGAAAGAAATGCAGTAAGATGGGGATGATATTTTATATTTTGGAACAATGGAAGAACACGGAATTAAAAAGATAAAAAGGTTCGAAATATAAAATAATGCATTTATGGGTGATAATAGGAATAAATCAATGTAATAGTGATGTCAATTGATATAGTTTAAAGAATTTAATAGATGATAAATTACAAGGATTATTTCATGTACAATATTTGTATATAAATATGAAGTCTAGGAGCTGATAAGCATATAAAGCATATAAAGACGTTGAAAGATAATCAGCTGAGACAGGGACGTAAGCACGAAGAATTTGAAAATTAATTTATTTTACTTTGTATAAAATATTTGTAAATATAGAATCGAATCACCCTCATTGAGAGTCGTGGAAAAATTTGGAAAATTGCTATACAGAATGTTTCTATATCAATATATATTTAAAATATAAAATGTCACACACGTACATATCGTATATAAGACTAAAATGTATGGAAAATGTTACGTGTGTTCTATAGTTGGTCAATTCAATGGGAACACAAAAGCTGAAAGTTTGGGAGCGGAAACTTGTATTGTGGAAAGAAAGTAGAATAAAAATAATATATTATTTTATAGGAAACAAAGAAAAGCGAAAATGTTATTAATTGAATAATAAAATTTAAAAATCGAAAGAAATTTCATATTTAAATTAAATTTATATTTTTCAGGATGTCCTAACGGCGTTTTAGAATGGCCGCACGGTCATGTGCTCGGTGGGAGTTCAGTCATCAATTACATGATCTATGTTAGAGGAAGTCCAGGAGATTACAACAAATGGGCAGATCTGGGTAATCCAGGATGGTCATACAAGGATATCTTACCCTATTTTATAAAAATGGAAGATACGCGTGTGAAAATAAGCGATGATGAAATAAGAGGAAAAGGGGGTTATCTGACTGTTAGCGACGTTCCCTTCCGGTCGAAAATTGTTGATGTTTTTGTGAAGGCTTGCAATGAAGCGGGGTACGAATATGTGGATTACAATGGAAGAAGACAATTAGGGGTATAAATTTTTTTTCTACGCCCGCAGGGATATTAGCTTATCTACGCACGGACTACAAAACGAAAAAGTATGCTGTTGCGTTCAACTGAACGAACATATTTGATATCTATAGGGACCGTGCGTCATGACTTTAACGCCAACTGGTGACAAAAATGTGCACTTTTTAAGGGAGATTTATTAATGTTTTATACGGCATTTATTGTTTAGTAATTATTAATTAAATAAAGTCGAATTATTTTCGTAATATCATTATCGAAAAAACTTGTTGCATCCGCGGATGTACAAAAATATCGCTTTGGAAACCTGGATTTGATTCGGTAGTAAAGAAATTTTATAAATTTCCACAGAGCACTCTTCGTGTCTCACACCCAACGATATACATAATTACATAGATTGCTTATTCATATGTATCTATCTTGGATCAATTTTGAGCACTTAGTTGTAAACAAATCATTTAGGGCCGATTCTACCATTGTGTTAAACGGAGATTAAAATGACATTGTTAATGTAAAAATGTCATTTTAATCTTTGTTTAACACAACGGTGGAATTGGTCCTTACAGAACCGGTTTATGAAATTAGAATCTTTAGTGTTTTTTGTCTTTAAGATTTTTGCATATTTAAATGAACATTTTATATAAATATCATTTTACAGATAATTAATGGTTTTATTCTGTTAATTAAAACTAAAGTAGAATGTTATTGTGAAATTAGAATGTCCAATTTGACAAACATATCATACAATTTGTTAACTATTTCTCATTTATCACTAAAATAAATAAATCATAATTAATACATTGCAATTACTGTCAAAAGAGATTGCAACAAATGTTAAAATATTAAAAATGCAGTGATTTTCTGTAAAATTTTTTGTAACATTACTATTAAACATTACTCATGCCGCGTTTGAAAATCCACATTGGATGCATTTTTTACATCTCGAGCGTTTTTTTATCCACATCGGACACATCTGTCCCATTACATTTACGTATACTGAATCACGTGATCAAAGATTTACTACATCTTAGATGCATCCGATGTGGATTCTCAAACGCAGCATATGAATAAGAGATAAGTGTTCAATTACAACTCTTACAAAAGTTGTTTATATCTCATATTAAAGTTGTTTAGATTATCTTTACAAAGTTGTATTACATATTGCAATTGTGTTTTATATAGTGTTATTTCTGAAATGAGAGTGGTCTAAAATTATTTACATCCATCCTTATAAAAATTGTTTAGGGATCGATTCCACCGTTGTGTTAAACTGAGATTAAAATGACATTGTTAATGTAAAAATGTCAATTTATACTTCGTTTAACACAACGGTGGAATCGGTCCTAAATCTCTTAATATTATTTAACTACATGGAAACTCAACTCTCAAAATACATAATAACGTGTCTTGAATTAAGTAATTATTTTCTCTTTCTAAAGAATAAAACGCTGAAATTTTATATTAAAACACATTTGGTCTAGAACGCCATATTTCGTGAGAACTTGGAAAGGCAATATAGCAGTGCACATTGCAACCTGCTTTTCGTAATCTTCTTTATAGATGGGTGAGCAATCTGTATAATTATGTATAGCATTGGGTGTCTCCTAAACATCTAAGGTGGATGAATGACATTTCTACTAACAAAGAATTATTATTACTCTCAATCTTTTTTATTAATTTACATTTTTAAAATGTTATTGTAATACTTTTAAATTCAGTGTTACTAAATACCGATATTTTGACATTGGATACACTTGCTTGAGGTACAACTTTACAATTTATTGTCACTTAACCATTTAAATCTTTTTTGCTTAAAATGTATATACATGTCCAGATTTTAATAATTTTTCACATTTTATATCATTTTGACCATGTAAACGATTGTTTGTTACGGGAAGGTATCTATATTTAATATTTAACTATATTTATTATTTTAAAAAATATCCTTTATTTTTTACTTGCAATGTTTACCCCATTTAATTCTAAAATTGAACACTAGAGAGGGCTAACTTCGGCAGTAGTGCTGCCTCTATATTTCACGCACGGTCCCTATTCTAGGTAGTGAGAACACTGCAAAAAAAATTAAATCCACCAATCACAATTCATATTTTGGTAACTTGACTACTATTATTTTTAAAATTTTAAAAAAGTGACAATTTCGTCAAACTAATTGTCAGTATATTTTTTAGTTATTGAGATTAAATATACATTAAAATGAGTTATTATTTTGTAGAATCGGTAAATAATAAAATTTCTATTTTTATTTCGTCTGTAATTATAAATAGTTAATTTTAATAACACTAAAAAGTCAATTTAATTACGAGTATTAAAGGATTCCAACGGCTCGGATTTAAATATAGAATGTGGATAAATTAAATTAAATCTTTTTTTGTTTATTTTATTTTATAAAATAGTAAAAGTCATAAATTATTTTTAAATTAGTTATATTATCTTAATAACATAAAATACTTTTTAAAATTTGTAGAACGGGGTGGGCTCAGTGGTTAGGGTCATGACTTTGAGGTCGAAGGATCTCTGGTTTGAATCACGATGGTGGCAGGGATTTTTATTTGGGATATTTCTATATTTGGGATAACTAGCAGGGACTTGTTAATATTTGTTCTAGTGAAATAGTTAAGATTATTTTCCTCGCCTGTCAGATTTGAAATTTTAACCAATCACATCGCAATTTTCGTTATCGTTAGAACCAATCAGAAACAAATAAATCGACTATTTTCACCAGGGCTGGTATATCTAAGGGGATCGCGACATAGGAGTCCATTTTGGACGCCATTTTTTTCGGAATAGTAGTCACATAGTAGTCGCCATTGATCTGGCAACGTGGCAACTTGTAGTCGCCAGGTTTACCAATATAAGAAAAAAAAATTAATGTCATTTCTTAAATGACATTTCCATTATAAAATGCCCATATTTTTTAGGATAAAATATTTCAATTTAATAAATTATTAATCTCAGATGTACATAAAATACGTCGGGAAAAGTAATCACTTTCAATTTTGTGCTGTTTTAGATTTGTTTATTTTAAAAGGTAATTGAAGAGATGAAGACAATTTTCTTATATATGATGCATAACAAATTATTGCTCCCTTTTTTAGAGCTCCAGTCCCTTAAGTCTATTTATTTTAGGTATTTTTAAATTGTTGGTAGGTATTATTCACTTCATTTGTATGTTTTTAGTTAATTTAAATAATTTTGTGTAATATCTTTTGTTTTCTATACATTTTAGCATGTATTTGTTGTCTACATCTTACAAAGGATGGATTTGAAATACCTTTACAACAGAGGTACTTTCCTAAAACTGGCCGAAATTTGAAACTGAATACAGTTCTTAGAGAAAATCTCCAGTAAAAAATGTCTGCATGCAGAATAACAGTAGCATAGATTAACAAAAGCTGACAAAAGAGTTGGACAAACCTTTGTCTAGCTTTTTTAATATTTCAGGACAATAGTGTTAACAGCAGACTACAACAAAAACATCCAAAATTTAGTAATCAAGCAAAATATTCCAGTATCTATATTTTTATTCAAAACTTTTGTGCTTCTACTCCCAATACTAACCATATAGAAGCATATGTATTTTATAGTATTTGCAAGATTCGGATCAAATGTACCCACAATTTATAAAGATTATTAAACTAAAATAAAACATTTCAAATAACACCTGCTATTATATTAAATATGTTTTTATTAAATACACAAATTAGTCTCAACCACACATTTTTTTTTGTTTTTACTTCTAGTGTAAAAGTGACTACTAATTCAATCTTCAAGTTTATTATTTATAGAGACCAGCTACTACAAAATATCTTATTGATGATAACTAATTTCTCTTTAATAATGGTTTTGCATTTATTAACATTTTACAGCACTTTGTTTATATGAAACCTCTATTTAACTCTTAATTAAATCACATTTAAATCAAGTAATTACATTTTCATATTCAACTTATGTATTCTTATTAGAACTTGGTCACTTTTTTTTTACTTTGAATCTTTTGACTGTGGTAACAGTCCATTCACCAAACCACAAAGTCACTTAAAAATGTTGAAAGAGAATGTCATAAAGGTAAAATTCCTTCTTCTATCATGTTTTTCATGCAATTTTAGGTTGTAAACGTTTTGTCCAATACCTTTTTTACAATTTATCCCAAGCAACACTATGAAAGATTTAAATCCTGGATTTACTGCATTCAGTTTTGAGATGAGTGCAATCACAATGTAGTTTAAGAGATAGTTTTCACATGAACACTTATTATTTACCACAGCACAAACGCATGTACCTATTCATGTAACATTAAAATAAAGTGGAAACAAATTGCATAATTTGGTATATAAAAAAGTACAAAATGTTTTTAGTTTTAACTCGACATTGGACTACGAGGAAAACAGTGGTTCATTCCACTTGTACCATATTGACATTATGCACGATGCTCGTTCAAACGAACGTCAGAAAAGTGTTGCCAACTTAAGCTGACTACTATTTCCCCCCTAGCCTCAGTCACCCCCTCATCCATTTACTATGTCTATGTCGCGACCCCCTTAGATATACCAGCCCTGATTTTCACTGACTATTTGAAATCGATATTCACCTATGTTGACACCAACTCGCATACTTGATTGTAGGTGTAATATTAAAAGTGGTTACTGTCAATTAATATTAAGTGTCAGACTAAAAATTAATATATTAGTGAAACGTTTAAAATGAACCGATTTGGGTGTGTTAATAGCGAAGAAATAGATAGTTTTAAAGACAATAGAACTCCGAAGAATACAATCAAAAGTAAAAATAGTGTGTGGAATCAGTTTATGAAATTTTGCGTTCAGCGCAAATATGTTTTATCAAATGATAAAACTGTTGCTGAACTATGTAATATCTTAAAATATTGGGCTTGGAACATAAAAAAGAAGACGGACGCGACTACAAAGAGTATTCTTTAAAGTATATGTGGAACTCAACTGCTAAGACGTTACAAGAAATATATCTTAAAAAAAGATAGATCCATTTCAAGGTATTGAATTTAAAGGTGCTCGCGATGCACGAAATGCAAAAAGACGGGAATTGCAGAAATTTTCAGAGAAAGGAAACAAAGTTCTACAGCTCTAAGTTCTGTTTAAAACATATACACGATAAAATTGACAAATTGGATGAACAAACTCCAGGCGGTCTCCAAAAGATTTTCTATTATTTGGCTTCCGTGGAATTAGCTTGGCGTGGTGGGGAAGGCGCAACATGTTTAACAGAATATTTTAAATTTAAACCCTCTGAAGATGGTAAAGAAACAGGCAGGTTAGAATATAATCCTATTTTTACGAAAATTTGCCAAGGAGGAGACAAGAAATGTGCAGATAGTAAGTGGTTGATTTCAAATACTCAAAATCCACATACTGCCCAGTTAGATTATTCAAAAAATTTATTGTAAAACGAAGTCCACAATTTACATGTTCACGTTTATTTCTAACTCCAAATCCATTTTGGCAAAATATTAACTCTTTCTGGTACAAAAATTCACCTATTGGAAAGAATGAATTTTCTAAATGGACCAAATTGGGTGCGGAGTCTATTGGATTAGACACCAAGCGTTTAAAGATTACTAACCATTCTTGTCGCTCCACAGCAGTCTCTCAACTTGCAAAACCGGACCAACAATTGAATAAAATAACTGGGCATTCTAGTTCATCATCTATTCAACCATACTTACAGATGGATGATCAGCATCATCAAAGTGTTATTAACCAACTTCGAGGACATACAGAAAGTTAAGCTTTCACTTCTGTGAATACTGATTTTAATCCGGTAGAAGATAGTCAAGTTCCTACTGCTACCATGAATACCGCTACTTCGTCAAAATCAGGACGAATGTCCCAAATTATGCAAACTGGAAATGTCACTTACAATAATTGTTCTTTTAACTTTAACTATTTTTTTCTAATTTATGAAATAAAAGTTATTTTCATGTGTAGAGGACATGTGCCATATATGGAATATGTTCCTTATATGGAATACCCTAAAATTTAATAAACCAAGAGCGGCAGCACCGCCACAACATCACCAATACCATGCTACGCCAAGACGAGAGTGCTGGCAGTCGTTTATGAACCGTTTAACGTAACTGTTATTATTTCGCAGTTCGATCGGTTTTTACGCGGCATCGTAAATTATTTAAGGTATGTATTCGAAATTTTGATATACCCAGTTAGAATAAACACAGTAATATCCTATTCTGTCTTGTATGTTTATATAACTTTAGCTTAGGTTTCTTATATTGAAATCTAAGATTAGCGTGTTACCACGTAACTTTGGTAAACGAAAAGAAAAATGGCCGGGTGTACCTTATATGGAATAGCACGCTGTTCCTATGTTAGAATATTCCATATTAGGAACACTTCGCTTTTTTTTATAGAATTTCAGGAGAAAACTGCAAAAGCTTTCTGTTAAAATAATCCAAATATTAATTCCTAGCCTTCTTTACAGAAAAATATCATGGGTCGTAAAGAATGGAGGAAACAAGACATGGTTTGTGCAATCTTTCAACTAAGTCAAATGCAACACCAGCCCAGGCTGTTGAAACAAAATTAGGAAGATCCGCGGTCTTACCACAAAAGTTAGAAGATCAGTTGGTAGAGTATCTGCTTTTGATGGAAAAAAAGTTTTATGGATTAACACGAAGTGATGTTAAAAGGATGGCATATCAGCTGGCTACCTTAAATAGATTACCAAACCCATTTTCCAAAAATAATGAAAGCGCTGGAAGAAAATGGTTGAATTTATTCCTAAAGCGACACAAAGACAGAATTTCTGTCAGAAAGCCAACTGGGACGTCCATCCATAGAGCCAAAGGCTTTAATAAAGAAAGCGTAACCCTCTTTTTTGATATTTTGGAGACAGCATTTGAAAATCACAAATATCCAGATGACAGAGTATTTAACGTGGACGAGACTGGCTTATATATTGTTCAGTCGAAAGTCCAATATGTTCTGGCGCTTAGGGGCATGAAGCAGGTAGGAGCTTTAACATCTGCGGAAAGAGTTACGACAGTTTTGTGTATGAGTGCTGGAGGAAGTTTTGTTCCACCTTTTCTAATCTTCCCCAGAAAAAATACCAATGTTCTACTGGGAAAGGGTGCTCCTCCTGGGACAAAAAAAGTTTGGCATCCAAGCGGGTGGATTCAAACCAACATTTTTACTCAGTGATTTCTACATTTTATTGAAAAGGTGAAACCATCACAGAACGATCCTGTGTTGCTAGTTTTGGACGGACACCATACGCATTGCCGCAATTTGGAAATGATAAAGTTGGCAAGCCATAATTTTGTTGAAATAGTGTGCTTGCCCCCTCATTCTACATACCACATGCAACCTTTAGATAAAACGTTAATGGGACCTTTGAAAGCCCATTATAGTGAGGAGTTGAGATTATTTTTGAGATCGAATCAAAGGGCAGTCACACATTTTGACATAGCTGAACTATTTGAAAAGACGTATCTAAAGGTGCAAACTGGGGCAATTGCCGTTAATGGTTTTAAAAAAACAGGAATATTTCCCCCAAATCGTCATGTCTTCACAGGCAGCGATTTCCTTGCTGCAGCACAAGAAAATATTGAGGAAGGGGAAGCCACAGCAGACAAAAATATTGCTAAAAATACTGTAGCAGCAAGGGAATTTATTGGACCCGAAAATATTTCACCGGTGCCAACTTTTAAAGAAAAGAAAGGGCCTCGAAGAGGAAGGGCACCTGGAAAGGCAGCAATTATAACCTCATCTCCATATAAAGATGAGTTAGAAACTTCAATAAATGCAGTCTCTTCAAAAGAAGCTAAAACAGTGAAGCGGAATTATCAGTTGACCTAAATCGACCATCCTGTAGTAACATCCATTTGCGCAAAACCAGTGCTTCAAAGAAGAAGGCGATTATTCAAGATTCTTCTTCAGAATCAGAGTCCGCGAGTTTCAAAGACAATTCTTCTGAGGAGGATGACATGGAGGACATTGGAGCAGACAAACCACAGGAAGATGACGCTACTTGTTTCTATTGCAATGGAAAGTTTTTGGATGATAGAAAAGGGGAGAAGTGGATAGAATGCGTTGTCTGCAAAGAGTGGTGCCATATCGATTTTTTGGGATGTGAAACTGATATTTTCATTTGTAAATTTTGTAAAGAACATTAGTTTGTTTTGCCAATATGCATTTCATTAAAAAATACATTACCTTTATTTTATTTTTTATAGGTAGGTTTACTTTTACTTGTTCAAGGTCTAAACTAAATTAAACTTCGTCTCTTAAAGGAATTCATATATGTTTAATAAAGTTAAAAAATGTTTTGAAATGTATATTGTTTTATTCTTACCCTATTCCATATTATGTACATATTCCACATTAGGTACAAAATTCCCCTTTTTCAAAGATTATTTTTTGAGGATGCCGGTATACAAATTTTCTCATTTCTAATATCAAAACCCGATAAATAAAATACTAATGTATGTTTATGAATAAAAGTAGAAACTTCTTTAAAAAAAACAAAAAATACAAGGCAAAAACAAAATGGTATTCCATATTTGGTACTTCTCCTCTATTTATTTATTTTTTTTAGTTACAACTAGGGCTCTAGAATAAAATTTGCTAATTCGTTCGTAATGTCAGACTATAAGAGTGACCTTGAAAATTTTAGGTATCTTATATTCAATCTACAACAAGAGATGGAAAGAGATGTAGCGCAGAAAAAGCTTACCTTCGTCCAGTGCGTTCCCGGAAAAATTTAAAAATACAAGTGAAATCTACAGTTACAAAAATTCTAATTGACGATAAAACAAAAACAGCTTATGGAGTCGAATATTATTACAAAAATAAGAAACATACTGTATATGCTAAGAAAGAAGTGATATGCTCTGCTGGTACTCTTAACTCTCCTCAAGTACTAATGCTGTCCGGAATTGGACCTAGAGATCATCTTGAAGAACTAGGTATGTAAATCGATAAATTTGAAAAAATATACAATTTTCATTAAGTAACTATATTATTAAATTTTCAGTTTATTTTTCTATAACTATAATTTAACAACTTTATTTATTTCCAGATATACCTGTCGTTATGGACTTGCCCGTTGGTAAAAAAATGTATGATCATCCAACTTTCCCTCTCATGTTGTTCGAAATCAAAAAACCTTTGGTAATAGATGGCATCCAGGTAGTTCTAAATCCTTTTAATTATCTTGGCTTGTTAACCGGGAAAGGTGCATTTACAACAATAGGTAAGACAATTTTTTAACATTATTTAAATTAAAATGCTCAAAGGAAAACTTAAATTAATAAAGCCTTTTTTTATTTCATAACTGTATCTATTTTATCACTAGTAATAAACTGGACAAATTACAATAGGAAAAAATATTATCGTTAAATAATAAATAATTATAGATTTTTACAACAATAATTGGTTTCTGAATAAATATTTTTCTCTACTCCTGCTGACTTAGAATACATAAACTACGCGTCTTGGTGGTCCAATTGGTTGAGGCGCCGAGGGCGTAACTAGGAGGTTCCAGGTTCGATACCTGGCCGATGAACTTATTTTTCTTTTCTTTATTTCTCAGCTTCTTCAATTTTTCTTTAGTTTGATTTCACATTTCCTAATTTCGTATAGGGAATTTTGAATTATATTTTCACATTTTCAAAAATTTGGATCTCACAATTCTTTAACTTATGTTTTAGGTGGAGTTGAAGCTATTACATACATAAAAACTAACCAATCGACTGAATCTGATCCTTTGTATCCTGACATCGAATTGCTTATGATTGGTGGATCTCTAAACACAGATTTTGGGATTGTATTTAGAAAAATTTTTAATATACCTTCGCAGATATTTGATAAAGCTTTTCTTCCAAAATTAGGCAGCGACATCTATATGGTAATTATTTTTCAAATTACTTAAAATATTAGTTTATTAGTATGTATCATAAAATAGTTATGATACAAGTGTTTTATTTATTATCAAAAGATGATTTTTAAACGAATGGAATAAGTTGAAAATCCTTTCGAATAAAATAAATCCTAATAAAATTGAAACAAATTCCATTTTATTTCAGAAAAAATCACTCAAAAAAACCGATTTTAGGTATAATCATTCGTCCTGTAGACTCATGATTTTATCAATCAATGTGTTTTTTTGCGAATTTTCCAATTTTCGTGGAAACTAAAAATGTAATCGATAAAAAATAAAGAACTCGTCTCGGGACTCGCAATATTATCTTTGGTAATAATTATCTATTGCATTTCAGATTACACCAGTATTAGTTCATCCTAAATCGTACGGCTGGATTAAACTGAAATCCAAAAACCCGTGGGAAGCTCCTCTATTCTATCCAAACTTTTTTTCCGATCCAGAAAATGACGATATAAAAACTTTTATTGCAGCAATTAGAGAAATTGAAAGGATAAATGCGACACCGGCAATGAAGAAAATAGGAGCTGAACTCGTTAATGTACCTTTACCAGGTATTTCTCGTCTGGGTTCATTGAGCCTATAATATTCAGCGTTTGGACTCATACTATTTTTGAGAGATGACCTCCAAATAGAGTTTATTTTTTAATTTTTCTGGACAAGGGTAATTAAAATTCAGGACATACGGTATAAATTTTGGACATTTTTATTATTGCAAAAACAACAAACTTAAACAATTCGACAGAAAAAACGAAGTGATAAAAAACAAAGATTCTTTGGGTAAATAGAAACGATTAGACATTTTATTAAAAAAGAACATAAGTAGAATATAAAAAGTTACAGCTATTTAACAGTGTCACTGCGTTTAAAGTTATTTTTAAAAATTTTTAAAGATACTATCTGTATCTGTAACGCGTGGAGGGTGGGTTAGCCCCACGGCACTACGGCCTCATTAGGCCCATTGTGCATCCTCCTGAGATGATCGACACCTCCTAGCTCGTGAGCCAGCCTACAGATTTTATGTAGTTGACAACGTCTCCAAGAGGTGCTTATATCGGCCGGTATTAGCTGATACTCGCCGAACACAAATCTTCTAATAAATGAGAGCGTCGGGCAATCGTAAAGTATATGCTCAATGGTTTCATCTTCTTGTTTGTACCCTCCGCAGAGTGCGGATTCTGACAGCCCTATGATATGGAGATGCTTTCGTACTTGGCAATGACCAGTCAGAATGCCTGTGACTAGGCGCAGATTCTGTCTAGTCATAGTCAAGTATTTGTTTGCTGCAGTGTTGTCAGGATAACTTAAGAGCTCCCTGGCAACTCTGCAGTTTCTTGTTTTATCCCATCTTGTCTTGAATTTCACAAGGGAATGTTCTTTGATTAGGTCTGTCAGGCCAATAGAAAGGCCAGGTCCAAAAAGTATTTGGTTGGCTGCTTTCTTGACTAGTGAATCAGCAAGACGATTATCTTTCGATGTGGCGTGACCTTCGATCCATCTTAAGGTGACCACATTGTTGATGGATACCTCGACCAAAGCTTCGTGACATTCTAGTACTAGTAGTGCTTGTCTGCTATCTGTATAGATGAGCATGTTCCTTTCAGCGATATTGTTTCTGGTTATTTCTTTTGCTGCTATGAGAATACCCATTAGCTCTGTTTGAACTACACTGGCAGATACTATTAATTTCTTGTTAGCTTTTAAAAATTATAAAATTCTTTGCAAGTATAAGAATAATTCATCTTTATTTGAAGTTCGGCTTTGATGTGTTCAATTGACAATCGATTACACGCGTCTGTCCACGAAGCTCAATACATTGAAAATATCCCTTCATCCTCAGCATTGGACCCAAATATAAGAAATTGGAGATATTTGAAATCTAAAATTAAGTACAATAAGCGTCCTGCAATAGGTCGTTGCAGGACACTGGACAAAGCACCCCAAATGGAGGACGTCCACCGAAGTGCAAGACGGTTGGCAACCCTACCTCCAAAAATATACGATACCATCTTGACGGTAGTAGCGCAATGAATGGGCTGGTCATTTAAACCTTTGGGTCTGTTTCAGTTAGCAATAGGCACAATAAGCCGGCAATTTGTTTTGTTTGGGATCATACCGTTTTCGAGATATGGGCTTCAAAAATATGCGATGCCATTTTGACGGTAGTATTGCAATGAATGGGCTGGTCATACAAACCATTGGACTAATTAAGTTAGCAATGGGCTCAATAGGCTAGTAATTTGTTTCGTTTGAGCTTATACCAATTTTGAGATATGACCCCCGAAAATATGCAATGCCATCTTGACGGTAGCCTTGTAATGAATGGACTTGTCATACAAACCATTGGACCTGATTTAGTAAGCAATAAGCTCAATGATATAGGCAATTTCGTTTGGACTCATACCGTTTTCAAGATATGGCACACAAGGTTTATTATTGGCTACTTTTTCAGCCATTGACGATTGGATTGGCCTTCTTATTTAGTATCCTTACCTCACGATTAACAACAATTGGCAAGGTATTCACATTAACAAATAGAACAATAAACAAAATTATGTTTATACTACTGAAGTCGGCACTACATGGGAAACATTTTTAATACCAGTTTTATAAAAAATAGTTATTATATTAAAAACTCCGCATGTTGTAAAATCAAAAGTAGAACAATGAGATATCAAATCGTACGCAGATTACCTCAAGCAAATCCGAATAATATTAATGTAGAATTTATTAGTTGTAATTTTTTGCTTGACAATATAGATGTTGATGAAATGTTTACAAATATTAAAACAAATTGTGAAATAGTTGTAAATCAAATAACTCCATTAAAAGCAATCACTTATTATGAAAATTACCTGCCGTGGTATAACGAGGAAGTAAGAAGATTAACTAAAGACAGGGATTCAGCAGACAAACTTTTTAAACAAGTATTAAGCGATATTAATTAACAAAATTATAAAAAAATGGAAATATAATTGTTAATGTCATCAAAGAGAAAAAAATATATACACAACCTTTGTTTAAGAGTCCCCGACACCACCTGATCAATTCAAATGCGGGTTTGCTGGTCACGTCGTGTCTAGCATCCGTCTCTTTTCATCGAAGCAAATAATAGCTTTGTCCCAACATCTCACAAAACCGTAATATTACGGTCATCGTCATGCGCAGTAAATAAAAACCTATGTCATCGACTAGACTATTGCCTATATACTTGTTTTATGTTGTTAACTAGATTAATGATTATTTTTGATAGAATTCAGTGATTTTGATTAATGTCAGTTTTTGGGAAATAAAATACGTTTTACAGAAAGGACCTTAATTTGATTTTAAATAGACTCAACAGAACATTTTGGTGACCCCGACGTACCTATAACGTATTCTGATGCATAGACCAAGAAGGAGTGGAGCCGGCGTTAACAAAAGTTTGTCCACCGATTTCGTCTGGCCGGATAATTTTGGCAGACAAGAAAATAGGACAACTCAGTCAATACCCGACCAACGACTAGAAAATGTCCATTCCAAAGCAGGTTCCTCATCATCTAGTATAAGTTTTCAAAGAAAAAGGCTAGAACTAGATAAAGAGAAGAAAAAACAGGAACTTGAAAGACAAAAAATCGAAATAGAAAATAACATGAAATTATTAGATCTAGAACATGAACTGCAAGAAGCAGAACTTAAAGCTTCAAGTGAAAAAAGTCAAAGAGGTTCAAGAAAAACAACATCTAATGCTGAATTTCCTGAGCTTCCTAGAGCCAACTCTACCTCTACAATTGCAGAGTGGCTGAAGGATAATGAAAAGATAGGCGCTAATATAGGCAATAGCGATGAACTGCCAGACAATGATATGAAAGTACTTTGCCAAACGCTTATAAATGCATTAAGGTCAAATCCAAGTGCAAACACTGAAAAATTTATTGCACGACAAACCATTGATAAAGACTTTCCTTACTTTGATGGAAAACCAGAGGAATGGCCACTTTTTTACTGCCAACTAAATAACATTATCTCACTAGGTAACTATAGTCAAGCAGAAATTATGACAAAATTACAAAAATGTCTAAAAGGCGAAGCAAAAGCGTCAGTCGCAGGGATGTTACTAACGGCTGAAAACGTCGAATTGGTGATAAATTCCTTAAAAATGCGATTTGGTAGGCCAGACCAAATAATTGAAGTTTTGATCTCCAAAATAAAAGTCATTCCCTTTATTAAAGAACACAATTTAGATAAATTAATACAATTTTCAAACGAAGTTAATAATCTAGTCGCCACTATGAGAACACTTAGGTCTGTAGGCCACATGAATAATCCTCAACTGCTAAAAGATCTTCTGACAAAACTTCCTGACATACTCAAGTTAAAATGGGGAGAAGAAGTGGCAATGAAAAGAGGTAATGTCGATTTACAAGACTTTAACGAGTGGGTAACTGGAATGGCAGTAGCGGCGAGCTATATCGGTGGGGGAGATAAATTTGTTGAGAAGAGTGGATACAAAACTCCATACCCTAAAACAAAGCTAGAAAGAGTCCTCAGCACTATCGATACATCCCAAAATAATATACAATGTAGATACTGTGATGGAAAGAATCATGAGGGAGACTGTCCGAAAATGATGGCTGACGATGTAGACACTAGATGGAAGGTGATAACAGAGAAAAAATTATGTTTCTGTTGTCTGAAAAAAAATCATCAAAAGACTAGATGCAAAAGTAAGAAACCGTGTGATGTTGACAACTGTAAACGACTTCACCATCCACTACTTCACAAGTATACAGCTAGACAGTACGAAAATGCCCCAGAGTGTTCTTCAAACAGTACGAGTAATGTATATACCACGAAGCATGACACAAAAAATGTACTACTAAGAATGTTACCTGTAAAACTCTATGGACCAGATGCTAATTTAAGAATATTGGCTCTTTGTGATGAAGCTTCTACAGTAACATTAATTGATTCTAAAATTATTAATAAGCTGAAACTCTATGGAAAGAAGCAGGAACTGTGCCTTCAATGGACAGGAGATATAACATCTAATCAAAAGAACTCAGAATGTTTGGATATGCAGATTTCGAATAATGGGCCAAAGACTAAATTGTATACTTTAAAAAACGTTCATACAGTAGAAAATTTATCTCTGCCCACACAAACGGTTGATTTGTCCAATCTTATACAGTATCCGCACCTAAAAGATATCCTACTAGAAGACATCTCCAACGAAAAACCGATGCTATTGATTGGCCAAGACAATATCAACCTGATTCTTACCGAACAAGTTCGTAGCGGGCCTGAAGATGCACCAGTAGCATCAAAATGTAAGTTGGGTTGGGCTTTGCATGGTCCAAACATTGCAAATGATACCAATCTTAGAAGCAGTTGTCTATTACACGTATGTAGTATGTCTAGTTTTTCAGAAGATAGAATAGAAACAATGCTAAAAGAAAGTTTTTTCATTGATATTTTTGGAATTGAAAAGTCTAAAATCCTTATGACATCCGACGAAAAACGAGCTCTGGAAATAATGAAGCAAACAGCTAGGCGAACAGAAGATAGATATGAGATAGGCCTATTATGGAAAGATGAGAATCCAGTCCTTCCAGCTAGTAAAGCTACAGCCCTCCAAAGACTTCGCTGTGTTGAAAGAAAATGTAAGAAAGACATCAGAATAGGCGAAGAGTATTCAAAGAGAATTCAAAGTTATATAGAAAAAGGGTATGCAGAGAAACTATCTCCCGAAGAAGCTTCTGTTGAAGGGCCTACTACTTGGTATCTTCAACATTTTCCGGTTGTAAATGTCAAAAAGAAAAAGCTCAGACTAGTCTTCGATGCGGCTGCAAAGTCTGATGGAAAAAGTTTAAATGATTACTTACTTGCGGGACCAGACTTATTATCCCCTCTTGTAGCTATCCTCTGGAAATTCAGACAAAGAAAAATAGCGTTCTGCGGGGATATACGTGAAATGTTTCACCAGGTTCAAGTAAGGAAAGCTGACAGATGTGCACAAAGATTTCTCTGGCGAGATTTGGAGAGCCACAAAAGTCCAGATATCTACCAAATGAAAGTTATGACCTTTGGAGCAACATGTTCTCCAGTATGTGCTCAATTTATAAAAAATTTAAACGCTCAAAAGATGGCAAAAGATCCCGAGATTTTAAAAGCAATAACCACCAAGTTCTATGTGGACGACTACTTAGATTCGAAAGACACTACCGAAATGGCCCTCCAAACGATCAACGAAGTACGAAAGGTACTGAAACTTGGCGGATTCGACTTAGTAAGTTGGATAACTAATTGTAAAGATATTAGAAAACTGCTTTCCTCCGATTTACAATCTACTTCCAAAAACCTAGATGAAGAAAACCTCCATAGAGTATTGGGCATGTGGTGGGACTCCAATAATGATACATTTCTCTTTAAATTGAATGAAAACAAAAAACTGATAGAAGAAAAACCGACAAAAAGAAATATCTTGAAATCCGTCATGGCATTATTTGATCCCCTGGGACTTATAACATGTTTCACCATCAGAGGAAAAATATTAATGCAAGATATATGGCGTTGCGGAAGTGGCTGGGATGAGGAAATACCTGAAAATCTGAAAGGGTTTTGGATAAAATGGGTCCAAGACCTTAAAGAAATAACGAAAATTACCATCCCGAGATGTTACTCAAAATACATACCGGAAGCTAAGAAAATTGAACTACATGTTTTCTGCGATAGTAGCGAAAAAGCCTACTCAGTAGTTGCATATCTTAGAGTAATCAGTTGCAGCAAAATAGATGTCTCCCTAGTCACAGCCAAATCTAGGGTAAGTCCTCTCAAACCCCTCTCGATCCCTCGTCTTGAGCTACAAGCAAGTGTGTTAGCTAGTCGTCTAGCGAGTACGCTTCTTGAAGAATTAGAAATTCCGATTCATCAAACTTTCTTCTGGACTGATTCTAAATGTGTACTTAATTGGATTCGCAATGATGGAAGAAAGTTCAAACAATTTGTAGCTCACAGAATAGGGGAAATACAAGAACTTACAAAAAAAGAAGATTGGAGGTGGGTTCCCACAGCCTTGAATGCCGCTGATTTAGCAACAAGAACCTCAGATTCGCAAACGGTAATATTTCCGAAAATGTGGTATCAAGGGCCCCCTTTTCTTAAAGAAACAGAAGAAAAGTGGCCAAGGGAAGAAGAAGAGAAAAGTGAGATAATGGAACAAAACGAAATAAAAAAAGAGTTTAAATATATGTTTACTACAATTACGAATCAAAAGGCTAATTTACTACCTGACTCACGACGTTTCTCAAGATGGTCACGATTAATAAGAGCTACTGCATGGGTAAAAAGATATATCGACAAGTTGAAAAAGAAGACCTGCCCACCATATCTAACTGTAGACGACTTAATTGAAGCAGAGAAAAAAATGGATTCGATTTTCCCAAGAAGAATGCTTTCCAGATGAATTGCGATTAATGGAAATAGGAAAACCGATTTCCAAGAAAAGTCACATCCATCCCCTAACACCAGGTCTACAGAATGGACTCCTAGTTCTGAAAGGTAGGACAGACTTGGCAAAGAGTCTCAAAGAGGAAACTAAAAACCCAATTATCTTAAGCCCAAAGAGCAATTATACGAATCTTTTAATTAGCCATTATCATGAACAGTCTAGACATTTTGGAGTGGAACTAGTTCTAAATCAGCTGAGACAAAAATTTTGGATTATAAATGGAAGAGCAGCCGTAAAAAAAGCTTTCTTGAAATGCCAGCTTTGTAGAAATAACAAATCAAAGCCGAAGATTCCCTTAATGGGACAAATTCCTTTAGTTAGACTAACAAGAGAAATTAAACCATTTGTGAATACTGGCATGGACTACTTCGGACCGGTTCTTGTAACTGTTGGCCGAAGAAAAGAAAAAAGATGGGGCGTAATCTTCACTTGTCTCGCCGTGCGAGCAATACATTTAGAAGTTGCACACACCTTGAACACTGATTCTACTCTTATGGCACTTAGAAGATTCATTGCACGAAGGGGGGCCCCAAAAACTATCGTTTGTGACAATGGAACCAATCTACAAGCTGCTGCAAAAGCATTAGGAACCGAGATTAATGAAAAACAAGTGCTTGACTCAATGACTAATAAGGGAATCGAGGTAAAATTTAACCCACCAGGAGGAGCACACTTCGGCGGTGCCTGGGAGAGACTTATTGGAACCATTAAGAAAGTGATAGGTAAAATTTTATATGATCAATCCATAAAGGATGAAGTTCTTTTAACGCTTTTGGCCGAAGCAGAGAATATTATAAACTCTAGACCACTAACCAAAGTATCAACGGACCCAGATGATCTAGAAGCACTTACCCCGAATCATTTTCTCTTGGGAGATAACAAAAACAGTTTATTCGACTCAAATCCCAATCCAAAATGCCTGCGTCAAGACTGGAAAAAATCTCAAATGCTATCAGATTTGTTCTGGAATCGCTGGGTTAAGGAATACCTTCCCTCACTTACCAAGAGAAGTAAGTGGACATCCGACAACAAACAAATAGAAGCAGGTGATGTAGTTACAATCGTCGATGACAATGCACCAAGGTACAATTGGAGACTAGGAAAAATTGAATCCGTATATCCCGGACCTGACGAAAGAATTCGGGTTGCGGACGTGAAAACATCGACAGGTCTCCTAAGAAGGCCAGTCAGTAAACTATGCAAGCTGGAATTCGAACAGTAGCAGCTGCAAGGGGCGGGAGGATGTCATCGACTAGACTATTGCCTATATACTTGTTTTATGTTGTTAACTAGATTAATGATTATTTTTGATAGAATTCAGTGATTTTGATTAATGTCAGTTTTTGGGAAATAAAATACGTTTTACAGAAAGGAGCTTAATTTGATTTTAAATAGACTCAACAGAACAACCTATCAATAAAATCCAAAGTCGAACGGTTTTTATTTACTGCGCATGACGATGACCGTAATATTACGGTTTTGTGAGATGTTGGGACAAAGCTAATATCAACTGAAAATACAGTACCTAGTAGAAATGACGCGACGATTAGCAAAAAAATGGCCAAAATACATCAAGTCAATAACGGGAGTTTTATTTCCTAAAAATTCTGACCAGCATATTTCTTTTTATTCTTCTGCATATTTTAAAATTGTATAAAATTGTTTATAATATTGTTTTAGGATGCGAGCGAAATACATTCGACTCCGACGAGTACTGGGAATGTGCTTTGAGAACCATAATAGGCAGTTACTACCACCAAGTAGCAACGTGTAAAATGGGACCATCAAATGACACCGAAGCTGTGGTAGATCATAAATTAAGAGTACATGGAATTAAAAAACTGCGCGTTGTTGATACTAGTGTGATACCTATTGCGCCATCTGCACATAATGTGGCTCCAGCGTATGTCATAGGAGAAAAAGCAGCAGATTTAATTAAACAATGTTATAACATTTAGAAATTATATAAAAACTGCAATAATAAAGCACATTTCGGGCTACAACTTTATTAAAACTACAATGAATGCAGATGCATGGCCTAATATGCATATTAGGTAAAATATATTTAGTCGAAATCTATACAACTAGATTTTTTTATATGTCAGAATGCACCTAATCTTACAAGATTAATGAGCATTTTAGTAATAACCCAATTTACTATTAAATTTTAAATATATATGTCACCTGTGTTCAATATTAGTTATAAACATATTCTGCACACTTTTATATTGTGGCTTATACTTAGATTATACAAAAACGTAGATAGAAAATAATCCCACTTCGACATTATTCTCACCGACCAATCACAGTTGAGGACGTAACATGTCAGAGTGTTATTCGTATAAATTTAATGTGTCAACGAGAATTAATTTGGTATTTTAATGACCTAAATTTTGGAAATTAACATTTAAAATGCCAAGATATGTTTATAATAAAAGTGGGAGGTTTAACTCTAAAAAAGGAAACTTATATTTATGTCGGTAAGTTATTTAATTTTTAGAAATTCTATCGACGCCCATATCTGTTTATTTGAAAAAAAAAAAAAAAAAACAGAACCGGACTCATTCATTGGAACATATTACAAGTTTCAAATTGGATAAAACTTTTTATTGTAAACTGTATACTATTTCTTGTTTTATGGGGAATCTTTTTTTAGGAAGTGAAAAGATTAACATAATCAAATACAAAAATATCAATTTAAAAGCTATTTAATCAGTATTTCTTTATATTAATATGGGATCAATGTATTTAATTTGTTGCTAACACAATTACTTGGCTAACTCAAATGGTTTCATTATCTTGAGTTTTCTTGTCAGATCCTTCACATGTTGGTGGAGTTGTTGTTCCTGACTTCTAGCCAATTTGGTGATAGTCTGGTAAACAGTATCCATCTGAAAATCTCGATGAAGGTCGCTTTTTTTATTATACCAAGGAGCATCGACAATGTACTTCAACACTTTCTTCTGTAATGTCTAGATTATTAGAATATTACTGTTACTAGTACAACCCCAGAGCTGAATTCCATAGGCCCAAATTGGTTTGAGGGCTTGTTTATATAAAATAACTTTGTTGTATGTAGATAGGCTGGAATGCTTGCCAAGTAACCAATACATCTTCTTGAATTTTCTTTTTAACATGGAACCTTCAGCGATGTAATGAAATCTAATAAAATACCTATATATTTTGCTGATTTAGCAAAAGGGATCTGGGCATTATTAATGTTAATTGATATTCGTTGACTATTAAATTAACAGATTTGGTTGCGTTTAGTTTAATCTTTTGGTCCAGTAATTTATTTGATTAATTGATGTTTATTTGGAGCCTCTTCATTCCACATCGTATGATTCGTACACGTGATTCAAATAAAGTATTTTTTTTGGCATGGGAACATTGTCATTCAGCCAGATACAGAACTAGAACTACCCAAGAATATTTCCTAATAGAAAGAGGTTTAAGAAAAAGAAAAAACAATATATGACAGGGACACCCGCTTCTCGTCCAGGGACCCATCAGGACTTTTTTTTTAATAAACAAACAAAATTAGGTCTCGGTAAGCGGGTAAACAAATAGGTACAATACAGAGGAAACAAGATTAAGATTCCAATCATAGACGAATCTTGGTGTCTCTTAGAAATTGTGAGACAATTGATAATATCATCAGAAAAATGTGTTAAAACTGTTTGAATATTTAATAGGGATGGAATGTTATTTTTTATAAGATTCATATAAAGTATGTTTGAATGTACTGCGTATTTTTTGCATTCGAAAAAAACATGATTAAGTTATCCAGTTGTTTTACAGAAGTCACAATTTTCATCTTCTTTTACATCAATTTTAAACAAGTGTTTGGGATAACTGGCATGACCAAATCTGGTTCTAATTAAAGATCTAATGTAGTGTCTTGTAATTATATGATTTTTAAACCAGGGCGAGTTTGGAACATGTCTTTGAATTTTAGTGTACTAATTCGAATAAGTGGAACAGAATTGTGACCAATCATGCTTCCATTTTCTGGGTTACAGATGTTATGAATGGTGTTAGTTCCTTTTTTTATTGCAGATTTTGCTAGCATATCAACATATTCATTGTGTTTGGAACAATGCCTTTTTGATCAAGAAAATGTAGCAAAATTCCCTAGTTAGTTACTGGTTTACCAAAAATTAATCATATCCATGTCAACAAATAAATAATCAATGTTGAACTAAAACCCTGTGGGGAATTTTGATATTTGTGATTTATTACATATATTCATTGTATGTATGTGTGTTTTTTAGTTTAATAAATTCGTCAACATACTAACCTGGCTCTATAATATCCATAAATGGTAGGAGATCGATAGTCTCCGAACTCCGATACAGCCGATTTTAAAACAGTTAAAGAATCTGAAGTAATTATAACTGCTTTAGTATTAGATTCTGTTAGTATCGCAATCGCTTCTGCAGTGTAACTAGAAAAGTTATCAGGTAGTTTGTAAAGAGCTTTCATATTAAGAGAAGGGACGTAGTAGGCGCAACCAGTGCCTAGGTCTGACTTGGATACATCTGTGTACATAACAGTATGTTCAGGAAAGCTATGTAGGTTACAAAGGAGTAGATTTAAACAATTATGAGAATTTTCATCATAATTGGGTTGTCTGAGTAAGACTTTGCTAAAGAAACAAGAAAAGTCGGATGTAATGAAGAATTGGTCGAAAGAACCTAGGGAGTCGAACGCTATCTTACAATTTTGAACAGCTTTACATAACGGCAGTGAGTTTTTATGAATCCAGTATTTATTTGTTAGGTATTAAGTTAAATAATTTTAGAAAATAAGGTTGAATTATGTAAGAATGCCTTAAAGATACATTTTTGGTTTTCTTCTATATTTAATAGGCGGCTTTACAGCTTCGAAATAAAGTAAAAATTGTTAGAAACATCAGTAATATAGATTACTGCCAATATTTTAGAACTTATTTGAGAAAATTGTAAGGTGAAATTAAGTCCTATTTAATTCAAAAGGGATACAGTACAAATATTATTTATCCAAACAAGATATAAAATGGGGACGAAACGTGCATCTATAAACAACGAGGTTGTAGCAAGGAAAGAAATATTTATGACAAAGATGTATTTCAAAAAAATCTTGTATCCACCGGATTATTTTTTATTTGTATCAGAATTATATCAAAACCTAACCTGCCTTGTTTGGACAAGCACAAGACTACGTAAGTTGACGGAATCTGAATAACTTTTTTATCATTAATATAAGAAAAAGTTATTCTTCATAAAAAGTCGGACGTTCTCTAAAACCTAAAATACAATTAAATAATATAAAATTTAATCAGACGTATATGAGGTTTGTCAAAAATAAAGGTACTTTACTCTTCAGTAAAAATCATATTTTTTGAAAATCCTCGTGTACGGCTTAAAAAAATTAATATCTGATGGGTGCATTTTAAGTTTTTAATCATTCAGAACTTTTTATCAGGAATAAATTTTTTCACAAAACCAATAATAAAACAGTTTTCTATATGGTTCCAACTTAAGTAGTAGTATATAATTTAAATTAAAAAATTAATTTTGTGTTAACCTTAATTATGGTATTTTTAATTAGGACACTGCAAGAAAGTAAAACGCATTTTTTCTTTATCTTTAATAGTTTTTCGATAAATATTGTTTAAATGTTTTGATTATCTGAAAAGTTGACCTCATTTTGGCGTTTCTTATAAATACGTAAATAATATTATTAAATAATTTGAATTTGTTAGATAATACATAGAATATATTGTAGAAATTTGTCAGCTCAGTTAACTTTTATGTTTGTTAGCTACAATTTTTTAGCCAATTCAAAAACAATGAAAAATTTGAGTTAATAAAATGTAATTTAATTTTTCCAATTTATGTATTGCGGATAAAATAATTCAAATTCTAAATTTTTTAATTTAAATTTGTTGAATTAAATACTGAAACCGGTTATTGGATACGGAAACCTTACAAATTCCAACTGTTAACATGTGTCCTATAACTATTAGGAATGAGTTTTAGCACTTCCTGTGGTATACCAAACTTACTGAGTCATGTCATCTCCAAAAGATTTTTTCAATTTCATATATTATTAAAAGTTGGTATAATGGCATACAAATAAAATATTTGAAACACTTTCTATAACCTCGTTGGATAGTTGTCAGAACAAGAACTGGTTACCATCTTTCGGGAGCAATAAAGGTAACACAACGAGTTAATAGCTGGATTTATAAACTTAGTTTAATTGGCGTTACGTTCATACTACGCTCGCATTGGTTCGTTCGCCAGATCCATTTTAAAAAGTCGTTGGCCATAAAATCCACAAAATTAATTATATTTCGTTATGGTTTTGTTTTAATTATAATTGTAAATAGTGCTAATTATAAAATAATTATAAATCCTTTATAATATCGTATCCAAAACAAACCTTGTCAAACCTCATGTCAATTTGAAGATACACAGATACACAGATACACAGATACACAGATACACAGATACACAGATACACAGATACACAGATACACAGATACACAGATACACAGATACACAGATACACAGATACACAGATACACAGATACACAGATACACAGATACACAGATACACAGATACACAGATACACAGATACACAGATACACAGATACACAGATACACAGATACACAGATACACAGATACACAGATACACAGATACACAGATACACAGATACACAGATACACAGATACACAGATACACAGATACACAGATACACAGATACACAGATACACAGATACACAGATACACAGATACACAGATACACAGATATACAGATACACAGATACACAGATACACAGATACACAGATACACAGATACACAGATACACAGATACACAGATACACAGATACACAGATACACAGATACACAGATACACAGATACACACACTCAGACATAATCGTGAAAATAGTCAAAACGAATTCAGGGGTCCCCAAAACGTAAAAATCCGTCGAAATCTCGAGGT